TTAAAGCAGACAGATGCAGGATTGTGTACTGACCTAATATTTGTGTCTGTGGCTCATGTTGTTAAAAATGACTGTTGGGGTGTGCCTTTAAGCAGTTACTCTATCACAAGTCTGTCTGACCTTAGATAGGTTCAGCCATTTTGTCCTTCACTCCTCTCTGCCAGTCAATGTTTCCCCCCTCAGGCAACAGGGGAACCGTTGAAGCTTACACCCACTGTGTCTGAAATGGCTCACGTGTGCTCCGATTATGCGTCACAGCCTGCATGTTTACATATTTACATATTCATCCATGGCAGCCGGAGTTTGTAAAGAAAAAAAGGTTTAGTTTTGTTTCAGCTTAGAGACCACTAAGCTTGTTTAGCTGGAGGAAAATTCCAACCTGTAATCTTATGAGAACAACACCATTAAACACGGTTACAATCACAGTACGAGAGTTTCAAAATTTCCCGCAAGCTTGGAGGTGGTGTAGAAAAGTGCCCAGCCTTGTCTTGTTTGCACAGCACATGCTGTAGCCTCAGTAGTATTTTTAGCAGCCATTGTAAATGAGTGGCTGCATGCACACGAGTTACTTTGCCTGGCGTTTTGTTTGTCAGCCGTCCACGACTGTTAACAATCAAAGAGCAGCCTGGCAAAGCAACAAAGTAAGTGTGGAGCGCTTTGAGCTGAAGTGAGTTTCCAGCAGTGGCATGATAAAGGAAGCAGAGTCATTTTTTTCAGAGCTCAAGCCTGCCTCTCACTCTGGGGCTAAAAGTTTCCATTGTGAGAGAGACACACGTGAGTGTAGCGGGGTGGGGGCAGGGTATTGGTGAACTTTCACAAGGCTGTAAGAGAAATTCTTATGCCTAGATGTTAGTTCTCTCTCTCTCTGGTGCACTTTTAACACCAATCTTGCTCATACCTACAGCAACAAAAACAGACCCAATAGTACAGCTGGAAAAGTTTCACTAATTCCTAATTTCCTTTCACGCCTCTCACCCATCTCATTTTCTTCATGCCACGCCTCACTGAGGCCTTTTGCACAAGGCCTGTATGTGGAAAATTACTGCTACATAGAGCTGGACAGACCATCTGAGGAAATCCCAAGACCCTACATTGTGTTGCATTGTAATAGAGCAGGGACAATATCTCTGGGTCTGACAAAGAACAGCTTGCATGATATAACAGTGGAGCTCCTGTCAGGAATATCCCTCCGTATATCCACTGCCTAATATATAATTTCTTAAAGTGTTGCATTAATTTATCTTTGAATCATACCCCTTTATTTTGTAGTATTTTATCAAAATAAATAATTTCTGTTTTTCAGGTCTGTCACACACCCCACGCTCAGAGAAATTTGAAATCGCTTTCAATGTGTCTGATAAGGCCTCATATCAGAAGTACATCAACAGCGTGAAGGATTTCCTTGCACAGTACGAGGAGGATAAACAGACCAATCAGATGAAATTTGAAGACTGTGGAGGCAAGTATAAGCCAATCATCATTCAGGGATTGTCATACTCTCTGGCTGATCCCTGATGGGTATGTAACAATCGTCAAATCAAGATTTCTCACTTATATGCATTGAGATCCATTAACCCTTTAGAGTGCATACCTCCGCCAAGGCCCACCCATATGAAACCACCTTTCAATTCACAAGAACCAGAATTTTATTTGGATCTGCACCAAATTGAACACACTCATCAATATTAGTTACCTAAATATGATTTTTTTCATCAGGATCCATGAATTATTCTCTAAGAAATCAACAAACACGTTGAAGAACTCTATCACACAGTTTTAAAGAAACAAAAGAAATCCTGGATCTGTCACCTGATCCAGATTCGAAAATTGGTTTTGGGTCATGTCCCACAACTCCATAAAATTTCATGGAAATTGGTCAAGTAGTTTTTGCATATGCTACTGACGGATGAAAACAAAACCTTGGTGGAGGTAATATGTTCTCATAAGAGACAGTGATATTTCTAAATATGTCCTAATTTTATCTAAATACAAGTAGGTTTTTCAAAAAGATCTAATATGTTTACATCTGCAGATTCTCCTCAGACGTACACGGACCGTGGAAGTTTGGAGAATGATGCCGGACAGAGGAAAGCCTGTCGCTTCCACAAGAGGTGGCTCAACAGCTGCTCAGGAGAAAGTGATCCCTCTTACGGCTTCAGCGATGGAAAGCCCTGCCTTATCGTCAAGCTCAACAGGATTGTCAACTTCAGACCAAGGGTAGGTATACACTTCCCACAAGAGAGCTCTGTGGGCCTGACAGACATTCTTTAAACATAGTCTAAAACCACTCACAAACCTGATGACACATCTGTTGGGATATACAAATGAACCCACTTCTGATAGCTACATTATTAACTGAATTTGTGTGATTAAACATAAAAACTTCAATTAGTGGGCGTATTAATTCAGTGGCAGTAAATCAGGCATTGTTTCCAGATTTACATTTTGTTTCTCCAAAGGAAGCTGTCTCATGAATTACCTCAAGTGCTGTCATTAGAGTCAGAGTTGGTTGGTTCTTAAGACTACAATTTTGAAAATAAAAACAAAATGAATTAAGAAAGGAATGAGCTCACCATACACCTGTAGCTCGTCTCTCATTGCTGTATTCAGACAGTTTACCTTTCACACATGCACAACACAGCAGGAGGTTCTCTGCACAGATGTGTTCACAACAGCAACAAATCCTCTGAATCAAGTGATGTTTTGACTCCACTGTGGCGATCATGTTATTTTCTTGACAACACACTGACACCGGCGTCAACTCTTATCACCACAATCTCTCTTGACATCTTTGCTGGTGACTTCCATGTGTATGATGCCTCTTATTTTCACCGGGACATATTTGTTATCTTTTTGTTAGTTTAATTTTTGCATATGTTGCATGTAAGTACGTGCAGATAAAGTCTGCAGAAACTGCAGAGCCTCTCACTCGGACATTTGCGTTGACACATGCACCTCCAGAGAAAATACAGAGGAACTGCAGAGTTCAGTGCATTTCTGAAAGCAGCTTCTGTGTAAGGTTAGTAGCATGAGGCTACATTAGCCGCTACTAGCATAATGACGGTCACTTAAGCTGGAGATGCAACCAACAATATCCCCCACTTGGTAAAAGTCTGACACTGTTACAGAGGCACAGTGCTAAAATAGTGGACAACACTTGGGATTAGCAACCACTATTGCCTCAAATTTTTTAATTTTCTTAATAATGAATTAGTATGATCCATTGAAGCTGTGTTGTAACTGTGTTGCATTCAAGGTGGCAACATACTTCATTGTTCTTCCTTTTCCACTGGTCATAAAACCTCATCAGACTTTTCTGCAATGGGACTGGATACAATCGGCATTCACTCCCTGGTCAAATGACTCTGCAGTAGACAGTTTATTTTATATTTTATTAGTTTATTTTGACTGAAATGCGTCTGTGATGGTGAACACGCTAATTTAGCGCGACAGCGAGATGAGAGAGAGCACCTCAGTTGTCGGTGCAAAATCCATAACAAAGGACTTAATAGTCTTTTTATAGGGTGTAAAACAATTGGTGTAAAAGAGGTATACGTTGCATGCAAGTTGTAAGATTTAAAACCCCAGCAGCCATGTTTCGCTAACTTAACCAGCTACTCAGGATATTGCTCAACTACTCTGTCTCTTTTAGGTTCCCTCTAACAATCAGTCACTCCCAGAGGCTCTGCAGGGCAAATTAATGACCAACCTGATCCCGATTCACTGCAAGAATAAGGTAAGTTTGATGCGACAACATCTAGCCATGTTTTATTAGTGCACCCATACTGGTAAAACACTGAAAAGGTTTGACTTCAAATCAAACTATCGCATTTGTAGAGAGAAGAGGATGCAGACAAGATTGGACCGATCAATTACTTTGGCTTAGGTGAAGGCTTTCCTCTCCAGTACTACCCGTACTACGGCAAACTGCTGCAGCCTCAGTACCTGCAGCCTCTGGTGGCCATCCAGTTTGCCAACATCTCTCGTGCCCAGGAGCTCCGCATCGAGTGCAAAGTATATGGAGCAAACATTGACTACAGCGAGAAAGACCGCTACCAAGGACGTTTCGATGTTAAGATCACAATCAGCTCGTGACCTCAGCCGCGACGAGCACTCTCATTTTAAAAAACAAAAATAAAATGTAGAGAGAATTAAAGAGTTCAGATATACACCACTAGTCTTTGAACATTCATAATATACAGGACCTACACTTAATCTGTGTGCTTTACACTAGCTTTTCTGTGTGTTTGTCGAGGGTTAGAATGTAAAATACAAAAAGTAGCAATAGCAAATATTTATTCTACTGTAAATGAAAATATTCCTTGAGCCATGGGATGTGTTCATCTATTACTGTAAAACCGCAATTCCACTACTGACGTGTAGCGAGCTGTGTTTCTGTCCCCAGAGTATTTCATCCTGATGTGGTTTCTATATATTTTTGAAGTGTCCAGTGCTGTAGTCTTGTCCTGTAATCTCTTTTGTCTTATGTCAGCTTTAGTGGTCCAAGGTGTGTGCGTGTGCGCGCTCGTGTCTGTGTGCAGGTGTTAGTATATGTGAGCGGGTGGAGTAAGTGTTAATGTGCTCTGTTAACTGAAATACTAGCATGGTACTCTGAACCTTTAAGGCCCATGTATGAGTAAATGGCTGCGCTCCATGGAATCTTTTTGTTGTTATTGGTTTGTGTTTGTGTTTCTTTATCCAACTTGTTCATGTTGACAGTGTAAGGATTCACGTGTACACCTTTTCTTTGCCGTTCACTTTAGCTGTAGGATTTGGTTTGATGACATTTCTGTTTGATACTCTTGCATCTGTTCATTCTTAATTCTTAGTGTAGAGCTTTGTGGGTCCAGCCTAGAAGACTGTCACCTCCATGGAAACTGTGGCAACTCAGTGCTTTGAAATCTGTCTTGCTGGCAACATCACGTTACGTGATGCAACTTACTATTGAATGTTTTAGCCATTTTCATGGTGGAAGAATTTTATATTTATGCAGTTGTACATTTTTTTTTCAAAGTGTAATGTATGAATCCAATACCAAAGTCGCTGGTCAAAAGGTTAGAGAATATCAGAGGCAATGCAGTATCCCGTGTAATAAGATGTGTAGTTGGTGTGAAAATACTTAATTCAGTGTTGAAGATCAAAACACAGGAGTCTGCTCTTGTCACTATTTAATCTGCATAAGGCTGAAACAATAAACAGAAAAATGAGACAACTGTCAAGTCTTTGAGTTTGAAATGAGTGTGTTTTCTCTTCTGCTCATCCGTCCAAAATCTTGAAGAAATACTGCACCTAGAAAAAGAAATAACAGTTCATTTAACAGCCGCCACTGAATCAAATCCTAACCTCAAAGTATCCGTTAGTCCTCCATCGTGTCGAAATGAGAGCTGCGAAGTTTCACAGCATCATTTCTCCTCTGTACTCAAGCCCCTTTCTTGGCCACTATGTCTAAGTCTTGGGGAAAACGGCAGCTCAGTCTGGCTAATGTTTAACAAGGGGGCATTTGTCCAGGCGACAGATCAGGAGTTCTCCTGAACAATGACGCTCGATGGGTCAGACCCACTCTCCGTTAAACAATGGTTTTGTTTCAAATTCCATTCTTGTTCTCCTCAAAACCAATGTGATCTAAGGTTGCCCCAGCCCACAGAGCGGAGTCATGAGACTCGGCTTCACAGAGCTGAGGGGGTTTCGCCCTTGGCCGAACGTAAGGTGGTTACTTATGCATGGACTGAACGACAATAGGGAAACCTATGTGCAGGGCCACAACACAGTGGCTGTACTCTGTCGTACAGTGTGTATGTGTCAGTGAAATGCCACCCACCTCTAGAACACCGTCCTCGGGGAGGTCTGTGCAGTGGACAGCGTTCTTCACTTTGTCTTTGCCATAGAGAGCACGCAATGTGGCTGGACGAAGGTGCCTCGCAATTTCCTGTTGAATGAAAACATCTGAAATTAAACACTGATGAAACTGACAAAATCATCTGTATTAAGATTCAACTAAGGGACAATGACAACACACTCATTCCAAATATCAGGCTCACAAAGTGTTTTGAAATGGAACATCCTGTACTGTTGTATGTTCCTCACAGAGTGATTAGTCAGCAGCTGAACATGTGATATGAAGAAAAAAAGACAAAACACTGACACTCAGCAAATATTTTACACTTAAAGTAGGAAGTTAGATTAACATGACATCCTAACGTTTCATAATGGAAGACAAGCTATCCTATAATACTGCAACAGGTATTGATAAATGTCCTTTAGTACTAGTAAGATTACTATATGATTAATTACATATTCCATATCAGTTTATTAATATATAGAATAACATCTAATGGAGTTGCAGCTTAAAATGTAAATGTGCCACCACCTTCTCTGTTTAAGAGGTTCTCAACACTACAGGCTAAAAATAAAACTGGAGACATGTTTATTTCACAGCTAAGCACAAACTCTGAAGTTCTGCTTTCTATTACTGTTAAACGTTGAGCACTTCTTCTCACGGCAGCAGCCTGTTTCCTTTCTACATGAGACACTCCCAAGGTCAAAGCTGGGCTCTGTTGCCCTTTGCTACTTGGTGCCTCCAGGAAATGCAACCCTCCCACAGGGTCCACCATCAGGGGAGGGACTATATGTGAATAATTAATTCACAGAGACGGCTATAAACTCCAAAGGAATGTTGACATTATGTAACATAGTGCTTATGTGTAATGCTTAATACATTGGGGAAAGCTGAACATATATTTCACGCGCAGGTTAAGAGGCTGGCAAATAAAATACACTGAAAACCGATGAATACTAACCACTTTGAATGGCTAAAGTCTAGATAGAAATACAGTTGTGAAACAGCAATGATTTGTTTTTGTCTCAGTTTTGTAGTGAAAACAATCAGGCGGGGCTTGTGGCAGCGGAACATTCCCTATGACAAGCTCTTTATTCTCTGGTGGTTTATGAGAGCGCGCACAAAAGACAGAAATAAGGTTCAAGGTCATAAATCAACTGAGACTTCTTCTAAAAGCCTTTCATTGTCTTTTAAAACAAAAACCCTTGTAGAAAAAAAGGCTCCTGGTTTAAATAACTGTACCACACAACACGGAACTGATTACGAAACAAAGGAACATGGGAACTGAGGAAGGATCATGTGAACTGTGGATCACTGGGAAACTATGGATCAATTGGGTGGAAAAAATATTATTTTCATCTATCCATCCATCGCTTATCCTGCAAGAGTCGCAGGGTGGATGGCTGGAGCCAATCCCATATGACATGGGTGAGCGGTAGGGTACAGGTCGTGGTTTATTACAGGGCCCTCCACGTGGGAGGATGTGGGAGGAAGCTGGAGTACCCTGAGAAAACCCCCACCCACACGAGCATGCCAATCCTCAGACCCCGGCTGGACCAGTATTGAAACCTTCTTGCTGAGACCAGGACTTAGTGATTTTACATTCAGATTTTGAATGTTCTCACTCAAAACCCTGCACTCACACTCCAATATACCGGCTTGTGCTTGGATTTCCTGCACTCCAGCTCTTCTCCTCATGTTCCTTCTGTGCATGTGAAAAGTCTGCCCTCAGACTACTTCTTTTGTAAAACAAGTCTGTCAAAATTCCAGATGAAGAGATGACGAATAAAATTGCCCCGCTCTGGTTGTGGCTACTTTCGCTGTTGGTGGCCATAAAATAAAGGAGAAAGAAACAAGGTGAGTGCAAGGGTTTTGAATGTGAGCATTACAAAATCTGAACATGAAATCAGTTCTCAGAATACACATTCTCAGGATATGAGTCTGTTCAGACTCAGTTTGTGACTGACAAAGCTAAACACAACATCCTGTGCAGGAATATCTGCAAAATGTTTCCAGACAGCAGCATGTCCTTCACATGTCCCCTGCCACGTGAGACTGAGGCCAAAGACAGTAGGGGGACATTAGGGGGAGAGCTACCTAGAGATAAAAGAACTCTTTTCGAAGCAGCATTCTCTGTAATTGAATCAGTTTCCCATGAGTGACCCGCTGTCAGAGTTTAATTTGATTTTAATGAGTCCCATAGGTTGTTACACTGATGTCCATGTAACATACTGCTGGCTTTTGTGGACAGTGATGTCTGGGGCAGTGACTTGGTGGTTATACAACTGTCCATTAACAAGTCTCATGTCCAATCCCACACACACACGCACACACATACTAGTAAAAGTGAACAGCTGCTGGAGACATTTAAAAGGCTTTTCATTTGCTCCTTAATGTAACCAAACAAAGGGTTTCCCCTCTATTCTTCACAGAAGAAATACCAAGGCAACAGCAGAATAAAACTATCACTGACATCTCATCGACACATTTCTTACATACACATAAAATTAATAAGAATGTTGTACAAATGTTTCATAGAGGATTATAACTGGCAACTCTTAACATCCTGTTACTCTGTCTGCATGTTTTCCCTTGTGCTTTTATGACCACCATACTATTTTTATTCATTTATTACTACCACTACTACAACTGCTAGCACACTGCTTCCTCCACAAATGTGTATTCCTCTAACTGAATAAAGAACCGCACTGTTGTTTTATGTACACAACATGATGTGAATACAAAAGCCTCCCAATGAAGCAGATATAATCACAGTGGAAACAATTTATACTTGCTTAAAAGTAGTTATAGTTTCTCTTAATCTGCATCACATTGTTGGTTTAATCAGAATCAGAAGAAGTCTACATTTCTACTCAGATGTATTTTTGAGACCAGAGCACTAAATTTAGCACAGGAGCCACCGAGGACAGCAGATATCTTTTTCCACAAAAGCGTTACGCAGATGGATCAAAAATCAATGAGCATGTAACAGGACATTTAGGACCCACTTGATCATCTATCATACTGTGAGACAGTGACGCAACACAACATGTTGTGAGCACTGCTAACAGAGCCGTTTATTTTTTAATTATTAAGGCGCCCATTAACAGTTTGTGTAGAAAAATAAAACCTTATGGAAGAGGCTGGGCCAGGACTGTCTAACAGAGGACTGCTGTGTCCGTCCATTCTGATATCAGGACACATCACAAGACAGAGCACAAGCTCATGCCTGAGTGAGTGTGAGAAAAAGTGGGCTGAGGGTGTGGAGTTGTGAATACACCAGGATCCTGTATTGAAAGATGTGTGGACCCTGAGCTAAATACTCCTTATGTCATAAATGTTGATTGTATCAGTTTGCTCCTGTAAAATAAACACAGCTATTTTAAATGATCTACCCTCAACTCTTAACATGACGAAGTGTTTGAGGTCACTTCATCCAAACGCCCAGCTGTAGAGTCATATGTTTCTTCACACACGACCTGTGCTATTTATGGATTAGTTGTTAGTCAACTGGAATAGATCAATATCCTGTTCTCATCACAAACAGCAAAGTAGACAGACATTCTGGCCTCTTCATACAGTCTGAGGTAACACTGATTGTGCAGTCCAGTCTGTCCACATGATAATGACATCTGGAGTGTCTGCACGCACGCTGAGTTTAAAAAGAAAACGTACTGTACTTTGGTATTTTGACAGAACAATGTTACATGGCGTCACAGATGTGTCCTGTTGGTGACCTCATCAGTTCGCCCCTCACTCACTGATCTAGTTTGTGACTTCTTTTATTTTGAGTTCTCAGGGCTGCTGTGACTTTCCACTTATCTCGTGGATCAAATGACTGAGCTCCGCTGAAGAGTAGGAGAGTGAATGTTTAGGTTATTTGTCAGATAATACTGAGGTCAGTCTGAGGTCATGGTGTGATGAAACTGCTCGAGGTCTGAAGCAATCAGATAGGTTACAGAGGACGGCGAGAGAGAGGGCTGAAAACAAACGGGAGCAGCTGAAGCAGGTCAGTTTATACTTATAATAATATATTTTCAATAATTGGTCTTAATAAAAACAGCAGCCTCACTGGGTTTTAATATAATTTGTGATTATAACTTTTTTTCTAGCAACAATAAATTGCGCTGTGATTTTAAACCCAGGGTTGGTGATCCTGGAAAAGCTACGCCCATATGAATGCTAACTGTCTAACAACTGTCAGAAGCCGATTTTAACGTGACTCGTTAGCCAATGTCTTGCTATTGTCTCTGCCTCAGTGGTGTATGTCACCACGGCTGAAGGGCAATTATTGTGTTTATAAATAAATAAATGACTTTATTGATGGCTATTGGCACGTGAAGAGGATTTAGACAAAAAAGATAAAAAAGTGTTTCAGAAACAACCCTAACCTAAATATAAAAGATGCAATGTGTATATCAAACTCTACACACAGGGATTTACAGTGCAAACCAGGGCCAGGTCTGATGAAGGTAACTACTAAACACAGGGCAGTAGCAAAGGCTTTATTATTTTGGTGTCAATGAGGTGTAGAGTCATGTGACCTAGAAATCATTAGCTAATTAACAAAGCCCCTTCCTGCTCTGCTGCTTCTATCAGTCACATTTTGGCTGTGGCCCGCACGGCTGATGGTTAAGCACAGAATCTTTACAACGTGAGTAAATACAAAAATAATACAAACAGAAGGAAAAGCGGAGTCACGGACAAACAATGAACATGTAGGGGACTTGTGCAGGTGCAGTCCCTTATTTTTATTGTAAGCACACAATAATTAAAGGCAAAGCCTCTTATCATTAGATTTCACATCACGCACCGGCACAGCCCTGCAGCACTGGTTCCACAGCACCCAGGAACATGCATGAATGTGTGTTTTCACGCACACAGACACACACTGGCACCAACACACACACAGTGTATTTCTCCAGCCAACTCTTATCTAATCGCATAAGCCACAAAATGTTTACAGCGTACACCGCACAAGGGCTAACAAAAACTTCCAGCTCCTCACACATTAAATTTTCATGTGACCACTTTCAAAATTAATGAGTTTGAAATCAAATATTGAGTTAAGCTCGAATTTGACTGTATAAAAATTACATTGCATTGAATTTATGGTGAGAGTGTTTTTGACAGCAAGGACATTTGAAAAAGGATGATGAATCGATTATCCTTTCAAGGTGATGTATTGATTTTAACCACATTTAACTCAACATTTCACTTATTAGAGAAGCATCTAGTTTAGAATAGAGTGAGGAAATAAGAGACCATTTTAAATATGTTTTGACTCACTGGATCAGCAGGTCCACAGAACTCCCTGAATGTCTGTGGCACGTCAACGCCGTGGATCTCCAGGACCATGCAGGGTCCGGAACATAACTGGGTCACCATACTCTGCAGGTGGAGGTGGGAATACAGCCAATACTGTGATGATGAGTCTTTTGATTTAAAATGCAAAATAATACTTGATGATGATGATGATAAGCTTCATGTGGCTACTTCTAGTGACTGTTCTAGATCCTGACAAAAGATGAGCTGAGATGAGATTTTTGTATTTGCATTACTATCAGAAGAAGCAATTTTCAGGTTTATGATGCATACAACAACGTAGTGTTTATACTCACAGGATACTCAGTCACAACACCTTTGTAAACTTCATAGAATTCTTCTGCATTGGCTCGGTCCACATTGAACTGTCAGGATATAAAAAGAGTAGAGGAGGCGATTAACTTTTCTTATTCAAGCAAGAATACTTGGTGTATGTGTTTTGAATTGTAACAACAGCCCAATTATCATAAACTAACTTCCATAAAGAAAATTCTAACTAATGCATTAAGAACATCAAGGATATGAGACCATCATCCTTAGAACAAAAGTGCTTCATCAATGAAAGCACTAATTTCATTCCCATTAACATTCTCAGTATGTGCTACAGGGATTGATTTATTTTTGTGCTTCCGACCAGAATGTGCATCACATCTGATGTGGCAAAAACGAATGGACTGTGAGAGGTCACCGTGAGCAGCAGTGACGCTGACTTCAATTAGGAGGTCAGGCTGGATCAGAGTAAATCAATACAGGACACAAAGAGGTTACATGAGTATAGCTGAGATACATAAGGGCGTATGAGCAAACTAATTAACTTCAGAGCAGATTTACATGAACAGAATTAAATTATGTATGGCAGACCAAAGCTCAAAGACATGAAATACTATTTTTTAAACTCTTACCATCTGAAGAGCTGAGATTTCAAATCCAGCCGCAGATATGGAGTTTAGGATCCCCCCCGTCAAACCTGTGAACACGTCAGAACTGTTGATGTCTGTGAGCTTTTATGAGCTTTTACTCCAAGTTTACACACATAAACTGACAAATAACTTGTTTAGTGCTGCAATAAACACTTCATTGTGATTTAAAACAAATCTGTGCAGCAGCAGACACAGTTCTCATTGCACTATCAAACATTGTTCTTATTTAATAATCAAATGTGCTGCTTAAGAGGTGATTATAATGCCCCTGTTCAGACATCAGTATTATCATATGTGCAATGACATCAGATCAGTGTCTCCTTTGGAAAAACAGTGAGATTGTCTTTCAGATGACCCGTCTATTAGAGGAGACATTATTTCTGTCCAGTCAGTCAACACATTACAGATAGAGAGTTTTATCTCTTGTTACTGTGGCCATGCATTAATGTACAATTGGTGGAGCAGCAGGGACAAAGGTGCAGCAGTGACAGTGAAGGTCAGACTGCCTCAGACACGCAGACACCCACGCAGACGCAGACACTCACACACTCACACTCACTCACACTCACACTCACACTCACACTCACACTCAAACACACACACCCACACACACACACACAGTCTAATTGAAAGTGGGCACTAGTCTGATAATCTCAGCCAGACATCGTGAAAACAAGTGGCCTGTGTACTCGTCAGGCAGGACACCCACTGTCTACATTTTCCATTCATTCTGGGGGCTGCTGTTGTGTAATCGTGACTTTCAGTTTGGACCAGGTGTACCAGCCTTATTTGAGCAATGGTTCAGTCACAGCTCGGCTGCATGTGTTTTAGGCAAGAAACCACCCCTGAGTCCTCTGTGCCCTCCCCAGGCAGCAACCTGCAGAGGAGGGGCACACACTCAACGCAGCTCCCAAAAGCAGCTGGTGCTGTTGCTAGGAGATCCTATTCTGGGTGCCTGGCAACAGAAGCTTCTCTATTCCAGTCATGTCTGATTGCATTTTCAGACACAACTTCCTTTGTCAGCACCGTGATTGGCTGCACCCTGCACACGTAGCTGTGGCGTACATTAGCCTCATAAGTGATCCTTGAGGGAAATCAGAGCAAGCTTTTTGATTGTGCTGGTCTCAGAACTGATTTAAAATCCCAGTTTGGGGTCCGCTTAACCAACCACCCACACTGAGTTACTATTTTTGGATTAGACCACAAGTGTCAGCACACGTCAGAAGGAACAGTGTGTGGTCATGTTAAAACATAAGAAAATACTTTAATCAGAGACAATTTATGATAATATATGAAAAATAAAGTCCTCTGTTTTCAGCTTGATTGAAAGTGAACCAAATGAACTGGAAGAATAGAAGAAAACAAGAGAGAGCTTTAAATATACTTGATATGGTGACACAAATCTTAATTTAAAAAATTTACAATTTCAATCACTGATACTATTGTATATGTCTACTCTATGTTTTGGAGTTCAGTTACTCAATCGTGCCCTGCAGCAGAAAAAAACGTGTCTTTACTTGTGTATGTTTTTTAACGGTTCCTCTCTCAAAGACCTTTCTCACACGAGACATTTTAACTTGTCAAAACAGGAAAAGCACAGGTGTAACTCCCATAATAACACTAATCATGGCACCATTCCATTTAGGTGTGGTAGAAAGTCATGCACAACTGGCAGCATGCACAGTATCAGGGTCCTGGCACACCTACATATCATGGAGACACATAAGGAATTAAAAGAGATCAAGTCAATTCTGCCTGCTCCTTTTTATTATTGTATTTCCTTTCTGATGTCGCTAGAGAGTTCAAGCTTGGACAAAAATGTCCTCTCAGCTCATTATGTTCAAATTTAGAAAAAAGACAAAAACAAAGTACAAGTAAGTAAGAACATGCAAGGAGACTAAATATAAACCTAGTTCCAAACCCATATCAAAGAAATCACTGCTGAGGATAAACACGCCAGGATCGGACCGTAGATCAGATTAATTTGTGGGAGCAGGCTGAGCCTCTTCACTTTCCTGTGTCTGATCGGTATGTCACGAAACAAGTACAGCCAACAACTCTTTGTGTGCATACTTTAGCTCTGTACAGGGACTTTCACATTTCACAGGTCACAGCTCCAGTGGCATGCTCCATGAACACGGATCAGGGCAGGGATTTGGAAAAATCCAAAGTAAAATTTGGTAACCACGTAGTGCCTCTGTGTGACACAAACACAGTAACAGCCACAGGTAGAAGAGCTCATACAAGGCAGTGGAATTCTTTTTTTACAACTAAATATGTAACTGGGTAAATTATGGCTTTTTACACAACTGGCATTTGTGGAATTATTAGGTAGCTGTATAGGCATCAATAAATACTGGTAGTTGTAGCTGTAGTATAATGGATAATGAAAGTATACATAAGTATATCTGTGCTCCTTACCTTCTGATATGGCATGAGGTTTGATGATGCAGCATGTGCAGTCTGTATAGAGAGCTGTGTTAGAGGGACCATGGCCAATTGTGGATGGGAAAAAAAATTCAAGCTCCTAAAAAAAAAAAGAAAGAGAAAATAGAGGTGGAAATACGTGACAATGTGGAGCATGGGCTACAAGGACACATATGAACGTGAACATGTACCTTTGCTGCTGCAGCAATTGAGTCAGAGCCGTGTCCAACATTTTTGACACCATCTGTTCCAAACTGGGCACGGGCACTCTGCGGGGCCTCCCTCCGTGCCACAGCAGAGTCTGTGGGTCCCAGGAGCTTCCTCCAGATAGACATGGCCTCATCACCCATCAGCTCCATGGCAACTACGGGCCCCGAGGAGGCAAACTGCACCAGGTTACTGCAAAATGAATTGTTAATTTAAAATGGAATATTTAGTGGCAGTAGGCCAGCTGCACTAAATGTGTCCAAATGTCACCACAATGTCACCAGGATCATTTTCACAAGTTCAGTTAATGATAACAGCCGGCTATAGAAAATCTTCTTTTGCTGTTTGTTCCTGCTCAGAATTAGAAAATCATTTACATGGGCACTTACTTGAAGAAAGGCTTTGATTGATGTTCCGCGTAAAACTCTGCTGCCTCTTTCCTGTCATTTAAGAAAACCATAAACCAGGGAATTAATAAGTGACCAAATTATCTCAAGTCAGTAAAAACTCTGTGTTCCAAACTAATGAGACTAATAAGACTTGATAGTTGATAGTATTTATGAGTGGAATTCGATTTGACTTTCTTAATTATTAAAAACAAAAGATGGCTCTGAGTGGACTTTAAGGTCATATCCTCAGATCCTAAATTATGGGAGTTTTAATAACCTGTTGATGGTTTAAATAACACAATAAAAGATATATTTATTTAGGATGATTCTAGCATGTTACAAATATGTTTTTTACTTTATTTTATTGACAACAGACCTTCATATTGGCTAACAAAAATTGTAACACTTTATTTTACACCTGTAGATTCTGGAAAAAGACTCTGTAAACTGGTACTAATTATAGAGAAAACTGAGATAACATTCTGGGAAATAAGTTAATTATCTCAGGTTTATAAGAAGTAAGTGATTTCAGGGAAATATTAGATATGGATCAGATTTTAGATCCTAGTAAAATAGCACAAAGTAGCAACCCTAGTACAAGCAAATGTTCTTCATTCATTAAGATATTCAAGGAATATCTGCAATATATACTTCAGGTCAAAAATTCTCATTATATCAATTCATATTTTAAAGACCTTGACTGGTTCACCAAAACAATTCCACCATGAGTTAGAAATGTTTTATATGCTAACATTCTCTGGTCCTAGCAAAGGCATATGTTCCTAATGAGTGTGAGACAGCCGAGCCGTCCATCTGTTTATGTGAGAATACTGGCACCACACAGCCTGTCTGCCTCTGTGACAAGAGTTTGTCTGATACATCCCTTGTAGTATCATTAGACTCTCCCCAGTGGGACTTTGCCCTTACCAAGTGAGCTTTGTCATCTTGGCTTTGGTCACAATCAGGTTGGAGGAGTATATCAGTTCAAGGACATCGCCGATCTTTGTAACTACGTCTGGCTTTATCAAAGCAAGAGTCCTAGAGAAAAATAGAGAAAAGGAAAAATATGCTACATAAGGACAGAAAAATGCATCAGGATGTAAAAGGATCATTTCTGATTTTACACATAACAGGAGAAAACTTATCATCATACATCAAGACAGTTATAGGAATATATTTTGATTTCATATGTATTTACATGTTTATTTATCCATTATTTAATCCGGAAGGTACCATTGAGAGTCAGGGAGCAATGAAATAAAACGTTTCTAATACATATTAAAAACAGACACAAATAACACAAAAAAATAACATAATAAAACACAGCAAACACAGATTACTAGTATTAGAAATCAAATTGATTTCCCATCTCTCACCATTCTGTCATAAAACACAGAACAGAACATATAAATAATGTTCGAAGTAAGATTATGAGCTTCTCTAGGAAGGTTTCATTACAAGTAACTGGAGGATATTAGGATAATGTGGACTTATCACATAGACTAAACAATCTTACCTTTCTTTTTTGCTGCCAAGTTTGTTTGCTGTGTACTGATCCCCATACCCAGTCAGATTAAGCTGCCGTGAAAAAATGTTCACTCGATTCCCAACAAACAGGTCCTCTTGATGGATGTCGTCGTATTTGGTCCTTCTCAAAAATACTCGCTGGTTCTTTACATCAAACTACAAAAAACAAAACCATTGTTGTTGGTTTTTCAAAACATAAATTACTTCAGCAATAAACATGATATCTTGTAAATCTAAAAAAAATCTGTTCTCATGCTGTTTGATATTTATATATTGTGTTTGAGACTAAAATCTTGATTTATTGAATCATGGTGAACTTGCTCTATAGGTAACACATGCATTGTTAGCTGCAGAAGTAAATACCTACCATTTCCACTGAGCCATCTTTGGGGTAGTAGAAAAGTTGGTAGTTCCGCAGGAGGGAGGCAATGGGGTCATACCACTCCGCATTAAAAGCAAAGCGATCCTCCTAGTAGTTAAAGACAAGATCCAAATCAGATTAATGCAGAGGCACAAAATATCAAATAGGGTGTAAAAAAATATAAAGTTGAAAGACAATGAGGCTCTGATTCAGAAACAAATATGATTTAGGTTTATATATATTTAGACGTCAGTCCCAGAAAGAGATGGAAAACTGTTTCACCATAACCTCAAATGAGAACAAGAAAAACACTGTGTGAGTCAACCATTTGAATTTTAACTAATATTTCTGTAAGGGTAAACAGCTCCATAGTTTCTATAGTAGACTTACCAATCATTTAAGTTTGTAATACAGCCACATCAATAATGTTTGGCAAGTTTTATTCCATTTAGTATAATTCAGAGTATTTCAGAGTATTAAAACTGGCTTGAGTTAGTTGGTACAAGACAGTGAACACCATGTTACTTTTAGAAAATACTGTTGCAGACTTTTCAATCTAACAATCAACTGCACATCCCCAGAGCAATGATGTTACTTTCACAGAAATAAACTGATGTTAATTGTGGGAGATTACATAAGAAAGTCAATGTAAGTTGATTCAAAGCATACAAAAACACCAGTATTGTTTTTTAAAGAGCTAAGTGTAGTCTCGTGGCAGACTATGGTAGGATTTACTTATTTACAGTCGAAAGTCTGGGTTCTTACAAACTCAAGGTTAAAGGTTTCTTTAACTGGCCTTCTTCAAATCAAAGACATGCTATTAAATGGCATTTGTTTTGTGACTGTTAACAATTAAGAGTGATTAAAGAATTATCTGATACAAAAACTTGTGTGAGGACAGATCTGACATGATTTGTATTATCTACCAAAAACAATCCTGATTCGTTAGCACTGTCATCTCACAGCAACAGCAGCCTGTGTTTGGTTTCCAGCACCATCACCATGGGAGCTCTAGTTTCCTCCCACAGTCCAAAGTCACGCATGTCAGGTGATTGACGACTTTATCCCGACCCTCGTGTGAGTAGGTTTGTGTCTGTGAAGGACAATGTGTCCACAGCGCTTCCTTGCATTCTGCCCATTGTTAACTTGAAAAAGCTCCAGCCCCTGTGACCTTGACCCCACAGATAGAATAAACATCTCTCTCCTGCTCTACAAAAACACAGGGAGGATGTGAACTCTCAGTATTTGGGTAATACTGGGTTTGGTTTTCTAACTGAACTAATTATCCAAGAATGAGATGTTGTGTCGAGCACACACAGATGTACAACTTATTGGAGATATGTTCTGCTTTATCCTGTTTATCTTTACTACCGGAGAGTCAGAACTAACACTGAAGCCACTGCCTTGGCATCAGTGCCTTGCCAAAGGGCACGTCAGCAGGACAGGTGCTCTTTGTGATTGTGTTGCTTCTTTCACTGAATCCGCCCCATGTGTTGTTTCTCTCTCCAGGTTTGTCTGCACGCCAGCGAACAGTTTGGTTCTCTGCAGTGAAAACAATGGACAGCCTGACCCACCTATGTTGTTGTATTGTGGTAGTACCGTTGTAACATTTAGACATTAAGATAACTTTGAGATCGACGAACACGTCGACTTAAGCTAATAATGTGTATCTACTGATATTAGCTTGTTGTAAGCATATGCGAGTATTTACCACCAATTGTTGCTGTTGCATATTAAAACGGTGTTAATTCAAAATGCTAATATTGATGACACATCTAGAATACCCTAGAGTAGTTAATAAGATAATAAATTAATAACATTAGCTTAATTGCTGTTATCCTGTTGTTGATATGCTAGATGCTAACATTAGCAAACAAGCTTCCGCATCAGCACACCGACGTTTCTCCTGGTATCGAATAGTTCACAGGCTACGTTCACAAGATAGAAGACGAGCAGTGGAGGTTTCACTTACCATTTTTAGAAGGTAGCGACTAATACATCCCGATCTGTTGTCACGTTGCTAACGTTAGCTGCCCGGGCTATGCTCCGTTTCTATAGTAACTGTAGTGAAAAGCCGAGGTGCGTTCAAGACTCACTGCAACAAGATGCGGAAATACAAGTCAACTAATGAAATAGCTCTAATATACATGGAGGTTTTATATAAATAACAACAAACATACTGCAGCATCCACACTTGTTAGGTGTCGTTAGTAACATGTGCATAGCATATAAATGAGGTACAAGAAAATATCACATTTGGGAAAAGCCTGACTGGAAGGTGCTGTGGACTTGTTGACGTTGTGATTTCACATTTCAGTGACAAAAGTATAAAGTCACAATGATTCACTCATCCGTGATCTGAATTATATTATGATACAACACCGTTCATCTTCCGCATGCAACATAGCCATTGTGTAATGCGCCATCTAGCGGTGATAAGGTTCAATAGTGAAGATCGGAATAACCTCAATTATTCAAAGTTCCGAGTGGCAGCAAAGGCACCATTTGACCCTTCTCTGTAACCCGGAACAACAACAGTTTATGAAGCGACCTCATGAGTTTTATCACCACTGTATGAGATCAGTGTCTGTCAGCAGTCTGTGTTATAATAATAGTTGTAATATTATTTTAGGTTTAACCAGTGTTTCTCTATGGCTTCACGTCTGAGAGCTTACATGACTGATAATGAACCTCTGATTCTGGATGGTGGACTAGCGACTGAACTGGAAGCTCAAGGAATACATTTACAGGTACAGCTTCAAATAATACAACTGAATACACACTTCATGCTCCGTACATACACATATGTCTCTTTCCTCCCAGCCTGCAATGATTTCACATTTAAATACTTACTATCTTAGCAGGTAGGCTGCACTGCACAATTTCATTTTTTTGTAAATAGTTCAAGAATATTTCTATGTGTTTAGAAGGCTAACATCAGATATAGCTACATCTTTATAAATCAAATGTAGCATCATGCACTTTGTATTCCAGCTGAGCTGACCAAGTAAACACTGACACCGCAGGAACTAACTCATCACAATGAGATAGCATAAAGCTGTGTCTCCATGGTAAAAGTCAATGTGAAATAGTGGAATGAAACTTTAAAAACACCTATTAGGACAATACCACAATGTAATGCTAAAGTTTTTACAAGTAAATATTCCAAAATCTAAATGAAGTGTGTAATTATTATTCAGAAAATGTAGCTAAGTATTATTAATATTATTGCATAATACTGGGTTATTAATATTGTTGATTTAGTTATTCACTTACAATAAATATCACCGTGCCTGTGGTTGACTACCAGCTAATATTGTTGAATATGATGCCATGTAACAATTCTATATGCAAGTAGCTATGGCTGGCCAATAAACAATATCAGTTATTATTGCAATGTCATTTTCATCAAAAGCAATATAACACAGGTTCAATATATCAATACAATGCTTATGCATTGTGCAAACACAGTGAGGAGGTATAATGGATCATTGATCGACCTCAGATTTGTAAAATATTCTGCTGTTTGTCAAGTCTTTGTCTTTGTCAACCACAACCTTCACTCTGGAGCAAAATTCTGTTGTTAAACTTGAATATGACATTTGTTGGGATAATTATTGATATCGACTGATATGAACATTTGTATCTTGATATAATCTTTGGCCATATTGCGCAGCACTACAAGCAGACATCCAACTCTGTATAGAAAAGAATGGATTAACAGTTCTTAATATATCATCAGTGTTAAGAAATAGACTGATGTGTCTTGTGTGTCTCACACACATAGGGAGATCCGTTGTGGAGTGCCAGACTGTTGCACACCAATCCCCAGGCCATAAGAGAGGCTCATTACAGGTGGGTCCACATGAAAAAGTCTGGTCGCAGAGTCAGTAGAATAATGGTGAAGAAATGATAACCAGCTGCAGGAACCATGTGTTTTTTATTTTAATTTTACCACAGGTTCCTCCTCAGTGGAGCTGATGTTATCACCACAGCCACATACCAGGCAAGTATCACAGGGTTCATCACTCACATGGACGTGAGCTCTGAAACTGCCAGAGAGCTGCTGATGTCTGGTGTTCACCTGGCCAAAGAGTCAGTGAAGAGATTTGTCTCCGACAGCCGTCCAACAGGTACAGACTCAGACACTGATATCTTTTGAGCTGAGTGGACCCAGTGCGTCTTTGTGCTTTTTGAATGCTGTGATTTGTTTATCTCTTCAGAGCAGAGATCTCCCTTGGTGGCCGGCTCTGTTGGACCATACGGGGCTTTTCTGCACAATGGTTCAGAGTACACTGGGGCGTATGCAGAGGAGATGAGTATTGAGGTGAGTGGTTCTCACTGTGCTCATACTGGTTCCTTTAAAGTCATTATGAATGCTCTGTGAGGTTGACACACACAGAACTTGAATGGCACCTAAACTTGTACATAACTGCACCTTCACATGATTTAGAAGTGGTCTGATAACCTTCGTGATTTATTTGTCATAAGGCATGGTTAAAGAAAGTGAAACAAAATGTCTGGATCTGTGCTTTAATCTGTATTTGCACTAAAATGTAATGGGTTTGTAAAAGACTACATTTATAAACTTCCTGAAGGTTATAAATCTAGTTCAGGTAAATTAAAGGTGACTTTGTCAGAGGTCCACATAGGTGAATGGCTGGATGAATGAATGGATGATTTTTTTAGATAATAAACAACAAAAATGAATTCATTACCATGCCTACCATTACTAAACAAAATAAAACAATATGCACAAAGATACAAAAATTAAGTCAACAAAGCATCTAAAGTATCATCAGGAACACACATTTCTCTCACATATATCGCCACCAAACTTTATGGGCCATAAGCAACTAGTTAACAAAAACATAAAGTGAGCTAGGGTGTATATTAGACAGACATAAAGATATAAATTCATAAACAATTGGCACACTGAATATAAACAAACAAACTGGTGCAGAGCGACATGCTGTCAAACAGAGTTATTTACCTGGATACACCCACACGTTAAATAACCTCCCCTTCAAACTCCTCCGCTTGCACAGAATATTCCTCTGCTAACCCTGACATCACACAATGGGCCTTAATTCTTGCTTGAGATTCTTTAACAGGGTTCTTCCTAAGCCCAGGCTCCACCAAGTTTCATGGGAAATTCAGTATGTTTTGCATAATTCCTGCTCACAATTAGAAAAAGGACAGGAATGAAAACCTAACCTCTTTGGTCGAGGTGTAATTTGGTGTAATTAACTCGATTTTCAGAATCTAAGGTTTTCTTTTAACCCCAAAAGGATCTTAAAGCATGGCATCAGCCACAGATTGGTTGCTTAGCAGCAGCAGGAGCTGACCTCATTGCTTTTGAGACGATCCCAAGTATCAAGGAGGCGGAGGCTCTGGTGGAGCTGCTGAGAGAGTTTCCAAACACCAAAGCCTGGCTCTCCTTCTCCTGTAAGGTAACCATTGTACATGAAGAGTATACAGGTAATGTTGATCCATTAGTGTTTTAGAGAGACTCACGCTCTGTACAAAATCTGTCAGGATGGGATGTGCATATCAGACGGCAGCCTGTTCACAGACGCAGTGAAGATTGCGAACAGATCCACACAACTGGTCGCTGTAGGAGTCAACTGCTGCTCTCCAGCACTGGTGGAGCGGCTGCTGGACTCTGCAGGCTCCCTGCTGAGCCCAGATATGAGCTGGGTGGTGTACCCCAACAGTGGAGAGGAGTGGGACACTGAGCAGGGGTGAGTCCAAAGTCGTGAGCTGCGTCTCAATTCAGGGGCTGCATTTAAACTCTGGTTACGTCTCTGCGGCAGAAGACTGTCCCATTTTAAAGGCTCCTTCAAATGCAGCTGAGAAATGAATCGAGAAACAAAGGATCCTTCACAGCCCAACCTATCCCAGGATTCATTGGGCTTCAGTGACAAAAAATGTTCAAAGAGGTAATGGCACTGGCAAGCAACCATCCTGATACTCAGGCTAAAACTCAACAGTTAACAGTTCTCAAATTAGAAATAAAATAAAACTCAAAATAATTTCGAACTGTTCAACTCCAGCTCTGTTGCTTGGCAACAGCAGTCATTTTCTGTAGACCAGACTGTCTCAATTCAGTTCGACCCTCACGGACCCTGCAGCCCACGAAGGAGGCAGTCTTTTTAGGCCAAGTAGACACGTCATCAGAGGGACGCAGCCCCTGAATTTGAACAGCTATCGAGTTTTAATAATTAAGTCACAGCTTTAACTGCCTCTGTATTTTTATCAACAGATGTGGCATCATGACAAACACATCTAGAAATTAAGGAAAAATTGTGTAAAGGCAATGTTTTCCTCACCACCATAGTAACCAATTATCCCTGTATCAGTCATTCTACTTGATTGAAAACAGATCCCGAGCAAAAAGTGTTTCCATTTGGTGAAGAGTACACTGAAAACCCTTCCCTGCGTTTCCACACCAGATCTACATTGACACACCTCTCCGAACACATGTGTTATAAAATAATACATCTTACAACAGGATAGTCTAGAAATCCATTAAAGAAAACTTAAGATACAAATGATTTTGTTGGTGAGGCTGCTCTCGGACTGCTCTCTCATTTTAACCCGACCATGCTCTTTGCAGCTTCATATGTAGGAAAATACTGAATAAAATATTTCATCTGTATCTGAATGTAGTTAAAGTGAAATAATCAGACGAAGTCTCTTCTTTTAACTGAGCCCTGTGACTTTCCAATGAGAAATCCTACATATAGTTCAACTTTCTTTCTGTCTGTTTTGTTTTTCGATTTTCTAAGCAATATTTCATCCAATCAACTTGCAGTAAACAGCAACGTCTCAGAATGTTGATTTGTGAGTTTGTGAATGGCAGCCATTTTCCTTGGCACACACTAACAGACTCATATTCACAAATCACAATTTGCCTCGTAGGGCTCAACAAACTGTACAAGGTGCGACATCCTCTTAAACCCTCAACTAGGGTGAAGAAAAACATACTTGTAGTTACTATTCGTCTTTTCCAAAGTGCACAGAGGCACACACAACAACATCTGTTTTTTTTCCTACAAAGGTGGCTGACGTCAGGAAAAACATCAGCATCAATACCCAAACTCAGTCATACATGGATGAAGCAAGGTGCCTTTTTGATAGGTAAGATGAAAAGTTTTCTTTTCTCTTTTGTCTTTTGTATCAGTCTGTCCTCTGAAGACTCTCTCCCTCTCTCTCTCCATTAGGAGGCTGCTGCCGTATTGGTCCTGCTCACGTAAAAGAGTTACGACAACAGTTAAAAGGAAGTTGTACGTCTGCAGCCTCTGCAGTGTGACTGGACTGAGACTGTAACAGTGATAGTCACAAAGACAGAAGTCTGTCCTGGGAGCTTGTAAAAATCTTAATTTATTGTAAAATAAATAAAATATACCACTACATCAAAACCATGTGGGTACACAATGACATCTGTATTGGGTCAAAGACAAAGACCTTATTGGTTAAAGTGTAAGAATAAATTAAGTCTGTACATAGACAGAAAAATAAAAGCATGTAGTTTGAGGGTGTGAAGGATTCCACCATCACTTCTGTACAGATCCTGTCTTTTAAAAACTGGAACAGTCTATGCAACAGTCTCACTGTAGGATTCACTAAGCACAACAGCTGCTTTAACAACACTTGGGACTGGACGGTATTTCCACTAACCACTGTACGTCAGGCACAAAACAAGCCCACTCACTGTACCTCTACTATGGGAATATGGAGGGGTGATCTTTAAACTGAATTTACAGCACAATGTGTCATTGTCATGTTTCCTAAGACAGCATGAATATAATGTATTCCAATACAGTATCAAAGCAGTGAGGTAAAGACGATGTGATATAAACATAACTGAGCTCACAGAAATGTGTTTGATTAGTTTAAGGATAAAATGAAAATAATCCCGTAGTGTGACTCACCTGTGAGTGTAAATACTCGGGTGGACAAAATAAAAGAAACACCTTCCAGTGCTGTGGCCCCATGATACTCATGTTTTAATAAGTGTTGATTTACTGATCTTCATTTTTAAGGCTTTAATGTTTTGTTCAGGAAATATCTCCTAGAAACTACTGTCTCTCATTAACAGCAAGTATTCTACTGTTTGCAATATGTCGCCATGATTTTAAGGAAGACTGCACTATTTGAAACTGATGCTCAAGCAATCCAGACAGCAACCATCTGTCCTCCATATGTCTGCCAGGTGTCGTCTGCTGCCTCCAAAGTCAAATCACAACAAAAAATAGTGTGATCGATTTAATATGTCTCACGTGTGTAGCTGCCTGTGTGATTGTGACCTGTAAATGGTTGCTGGTGCATCAGTCCCAAGTTTACGGACCCTCACCAACATTATCTTCAACCCAATATTCGATTAAAAGTAATGCAAACTATGTTATGGCTTCAAACTGACAGTTGAGTTAATAACAAATGCCTACAACGCATGTATCATCCTGACAAGAAATGCATGTGACTCCAGAGCTCATGCCTATGTACACAGAACTCTATTATTGCTCAGATATCTAGATGTTAATTCATTAAAATAACAGTTAAGTTTGTTTTGCCATTATGCTGGAGGGGATACCCACAAGAGCATTAACTGTATTAATCCAACGCTGAAAAAAGTTCTTCTGTTCTTCTTCTGCTTCTGTTTAAATATAGTTTGATTAAAAACTACAAGGCCTAGTCGTGTTAGAACATTATCTTTTGAAACCAAATATTTGGGGTGCATTTTTAAAGATTTACATCTTCAGTATGAACTTATGGGTTCGGAGTTAAGTGCCACAAACAGGGTGGAGAAGCCAGAACATACAGACAGATGGACTGTTATGGTCTTGTTTTTGACATATATTGATGATAAAATACAGAACAACTCCAGACTTTCTGTAACTGTATCTTAAGGCTACCGAAATGTGTTATAGTGTCTGTTATTTCGTCCTCCCCTGTACGTCACGCTGAACCTTTTCAGTCTGTGATGTCTTCTGCGAGGTCGCTGTCAGGGGAGCTCCTCTGTCTGTACTCTGTGGTGTTGGAGAGGCGTTTCCAGCTGCTCTCTTTCTGACTTCCCATACTGTGCGAGCGTCCCAGGTGAGCCAGGCGTTTACTCGACGTCCTCTCCTCCGTGTCCTCTGAGACGTGTCCGCGGGACCGCTCCGCGCTGGAGTGGTGGAAGTCGTGGCGCAGGTTCTCCAAATTCATCGCCCAGGGGCCGAGCTTCTGCCAGTTCACCCTCTGGAATGCCATGATGCAGTGCAGGTTGCCGCCCACCTGTGAGCCAGAGGGAGTCTTTTACTTCTACCCCACATGTGTTTACTCAAAGAACCATGAAAACAACAGATGTGAGGAGAGGAACCTTTTTGGTTTTGCGGTGCTGGATCCCCCTCTCTGTGTGACGAATGTCCAGGTATTCCGGGTTCTGTGTGTTGAGGTCAGTCACAATGTCCAGCCACCTGAAAAGAGTGGTTACATGTTACAGAGCATAACAGTGACCGCCCACTTTGACCCACTGACATGATTTTTGTGGTTGTGGTAGACATTTCCATGGTAACAGCCAGCTCTATCGATCAGAAACATTGCTATTACACTTGAGGATTGTGGGTAGTGCAGTACTTCTCCCATTGTGAATAAAACAGTTGATATTATACAGACGTTTGGCTTGGTAAATTCTTGGATGGTTACAAGATTAAGGCTGGGATTTTTATTTCCAGAACCACACTGCTGAGCTATGTTGTCAACAGTGTTGATACAATGCAGCAGCGAGTGAGGAGAAACAGAGCTTACTTTTTACAATGAATAGCTGGGTGTTTCCTGCTGGGCTCTCCGATGAGGATCCAGTGCTCCATTTCATTTGTGGGTAGAGGGCCCCTTTGCACAGCAGAGAACAGCTTGTCTGTTTATAAACTGTGATTTATACAGTGTTTACACAGTCCATTAATTGATAGGTCGAGCAGCAGAACAATATTCAACCACTATATAACATCAAATACAAGACCTTTCCAGACTGATCGAGACACAGATCAAGGTTAATAAGATCATGCACAATTAAAGGAGAGAGAGGCTTCACTGTGAGAACATTTCTCAATTGTGTTGACGGCAGAGCAAGTGGTCTCTTGCACACATGCAGACAGCAGCACGTAGTAAAAATGTGACGTGAAAAAAAGAACTACAATTTCTATTTTTGTAAGCACTTTGAATGATCCATGTCTACTAGTTTCCATTTTCAAAAAATGGAAACTAATTTTCCAGATTTTCCAGGTCTGGGTTTTTTCCAGTCTTTTTCTGTAACCTTGGAGTCATCAGAAGAGAACTGGGTATATGAGGGGTGCACAAACAATGCATGAAGGTTGCTCACCCACTTCGCAGAAGTCAAAGCGTGAGGCAAATCAGTCTTGTATGAGAGAAATTTCATGTCCTCAAACTCAAAATGCTTAAAGGAAGAACTGCATAGGTCCTCAAGCACAAAAAAACACAAACCTCAGCTGGCTGACACTCTAAAGAACACATATAAAGAACACATATAGCCATGTAGAACATGTCAGACAGAATAAGCTATAGCTCTGTCTGTGCCACCACCATGGAAGCCATACCTCAACCCAGTGGGAAATGACTCTAATGCCGCCAGACACATTGCCTGATGTATCTGGAGCATGATGACAGAGCTCAGCGAACAAGAGGTGCCAGCTTGAGCTCGATAAGTCTTATCAAGCTGCAACGCAGTGAACCTGCAGTGCTTAGATTGGAGGGTTGTGGGTCCGCCTAAACCGTGGTTATGGGACAAGGCTAGATAATTGGGCAGAGTTGGTTCCTTAGGTGGGGAATTGACCAAACCAGTATTTTCAGCTCCACCCAAATCCCCAAATTTTCCATTTGAGTCTCAGGCAGACAGAAACGTATTCTATGTTGAAGTCAACTCTGAAACAAAGTTGGGGAACATGGGCAAGAGGTTCTTTACCAATGTCAGCTTAAGAGGAAGAAAATCCCTCTTCTAACCCTCGGAAGAAAGGGCCACATCCTCTGACCATGAATATACAGATGTCCAGCATGCCATCATCTTCATGATGAGCAGCTAGCTCAGGTTGTGGTTGGGTATCGCTCAACAAGGACTCAGGCTCAAGCTTAAATAACCCCTCAACAAACTTAGCTAACTTCGATCGGGGGGCATAATATCCCATACTTCCTGTGTGGTACTAAGTAAGGGGCTAAACACCTAATTGATCATTCACAAAACTAATCAGCAGAACAATCTGTAATGACAATAATCCCAGAGATGTGACCAACCTGTAAGCTTTTGCTGCTTTGAGTGGTGTAGCTTCAAAGCCCACTGGGCAGAAGTAGTGGTTCTGACAGTGGTAAATGTAGGCCATGGACTCATCCTTCAGCCCTTGTGTCAGCTTCATCAACGCTCCTTCCGCTAAAAAGATTAGAGCAGTTACCACTTGTTTAAGCTCTTTATGAGCAGATATATAGGGGAGGTTGGAAGCAGTGGGACTAACCTGTTTCTCCTGCAGTCTTGTGTTTTCCATGGGGTTTGTAAAGAATGTAGGAGCAACCTCGCACTCTGAAGTTGTCGTTGATTTGTCTGAACCACCTGAGAGATAAAACGCACTGATTAAGGAGTTGGGTGTGTTTCCTGAGACGGAGTGATTCATTTAAAAGGCCAAAGCAGACGTTTGTGTACCGCATTAAAGTAGCGTTTCCGGTGAAAGGACCAAACTTTATCTCTTCAAAAGGCGGCTGAAAGCCAAGAATATGCAGAGCCTCCTCCTGAGAGATGGGTGGGAGACTAGCAACACAAATAAAGGTGCACATATTAGTAAGTGACTGCAACTTCAATGCAACAGAAAATATGCAAATCATATGCATGATACCAGTTGAAAAGATAACTTATTCAAAACAAGAGAACAGAACAACTGCTTTCAGATCACGCTGATTTGGATCTGTCTCGACAGTTAATTGATGGGTCCTACATTTTTGGACTGAAAGACAGCAGTGTTCTGGGATCCAAGGGAACAGCTTGTTATCTGGAGCAGTAGCAACAAGTACTGGCTCATGTCCATGGTGCGTTTAATCACAATGTTTTTTTTTCATCATCTACACTGACAGCTGCAGAAGCTGTAAGGACGACAACTACCATGTCAAATTCTCAGGGAACACTGTGTTGCTGTCTCCTTCAGCATCCAGAGCAGGAGATTGTCTTCCTGCTCTTTAAGTGGTCTGATGACAACATTTTTAGAGTTGAATACGTCCAAAACAAAAGAACCAATTGCTACTTTTAATGAATTCTGCTGCTGTGAACATGGGTTAATTCAGAAATTAACAAAAGTTTTTACCAGCGGGCTGGCCAGAGAAACTCTGGAGAATGTTGGGAGGCAGTCACTTGGCCATTTGCGTTCTCACCTTCAAAAGATTATCCAAAGTTTTGTGCATGTCTGAAAGAAGCTACAGAGGGATTACAAAACAAGAGAAGAGTGCACTACTCTGAATTCTTTTTCACCCAGTTCAGTTATTCCTCGTTGTTTTCAATCAGTTCGTAACTGAGATTCCTTTCACATTTCATTTGCTGGTTTGAGTCTGACATTATTGATAAGATCTGTTCAAAGCAGACCAAACTGAGGGATCTGACTTATTTTAATGTCAAGGAGGAAAACAATGAACACGCTGTACCTACCTGAGAATGTGTAAGCAGCAGAGTTCTCATTACAGGACATCGACCTGACTTGGGCTGATGTGAACTGAGCATCTTACTTTGTCATGAGCTGTGTTTTTACATGAAATCTGAGAGAGGACATAATGTGCAGCTCACCTCCCTGCACCCATAGTGCTGTATAAAAAGTTCCAACAGGACACCAAGGAGGAGATTCCACATGAAGTCTTGTACTGGGGCCGACTGATGCAATACCTGAGATAATAAACAAATCCACAGAGTAAACCATTACATTTACAATGTGATGCAATACTGTCATTTCCAGTATAAAGTCTCTAAAGAGTACCAGGTGGAAACAGTGCATGTTAACCAAAATGCCTGACTAAATCGGGTTTAATATATAACCTCTCCTCGCATGTCAAGTACAAGTTATGGTTTCCTGCCTGTCCATCAACAATTGTTTGTGTGCTGTGATTATTCAAAAAATGTTGAGGCACTAAATGGAACATTACCATCTTCTGAGGTCGAGCACTTTACGCTGTTTGATCTCCTCCAGCGAGGCGTGAGGAGGGATGTCTTGCAGATTTCGGCTGGGTCTGTCTGATGACTTCATCTTCTTGGTGCTGCATTTCTTTACATTGCCTGAAATGTAGTAGTTCGAGATTATCTTACTGACAAATTTTATAAATTCATATCACAGACTTCAGTCACGAGATCATTTCTTACTTGTTCTTATTTTTCTCATAAGCACGGCATCGAAGTCTACTGTGTCGATCTCCCAAGCCAGAATAGGCTTGGTGTTGCCAGAGGACACTTGCTCCATTTCATAGTCCCCGTCTGATCCCACATGGGCCCCACAAGTGCTGAAGTCTACTGAGGGTTTGGGCTTCACCAGCGCAGGCCCATCATCCTGCTTGTTCTGTACCATGTCCCTGGTTGTACTCGGGGGACAATACACCGAAGCAGCCTGGTTGAGGAGAGCATAGTCCGAGCACACTGTGTAGAACTTTTCTCTGGAGTGTGTGACCGGGCAAGTCCATGGCAGTTGGAGCTCGACGCTGGAAGCCCTCCTCGCTCTGGCGGCCTCCCGGGTCAGGGAGCTGATCAGGCTGCGGCCCTCTTCATCAGTTGTCCTCTGCTGCCCTGATTGCTCTTCTGGCCGAGACTGGTTCCCTCCTTGACTCTCTGATGTGTTAGGCATTGAACCGCCAGTTTAATGATGGGAGAAGAAGCTGAAGCTGACTGTGATGCTGAAGTGACAGCTGTCTCTTCTGGGGATGAGAAGAGAGGCATTTATAAAAACAGCACACAGATTTAAAAGGAGGATATTGAGGAAGTGCAGTGACAACAGGGTTTCAACACACAATGATCACATACACATGGTTTTCAAAGTCACAATCCTGAATATCATTGTTTAAAGTTACAGTGATGTTAGATAAAATAAAATAAGACTTTATCAATCCAGAAGGATTTTCTTGTTCCAGCTTGCTCTGAGGGTCACAGTTACCCAATATGTAACAGAGTACGGAGAATAAAACGATAAAGAATTAAGTTTAAAAACACAAGTGTAGACAAAAACTAAAGTATTTAATGTATATATGAAGTGTATACACAGTAAATGCAGAATTAGTGCCTCATAGTATGGAAGTGGAATATTGCACATGATGTGCAATAGCCTCAACACAAGCTTTTTAATAACATGTCAATTGTTTTACTGTCTTTTTTACCATTTGTCTCTTATTATTTGTATTATTTGTTTTCATTTCCTGTAATGCTGCTGGAATTTTAATTTGCCTGAGGGAGTCCTCCCGAGGGATCAATGAAGTTTGATCTAATCTACGGTCACAGCAGCTCTGTCCCTCCCGTCTTCGTCCTCGTTTGTGTGACGCAGCTGCTGTTTGTGTTTGTGTGGAATGAAAAGCTGCTCTCGTCGA